TCAGTTGTTACCTTCGTCTTAGGACAGTGGAGTCTGGCCCAGCCTTAAGGGCTTCGACAGGAATAGCGAGAGGCAACCTCCTAGCATGACTGGAAGCCATGGCCAGGAAGGCTGTCACACCATTTCTCTGACAAATGGACCCAATGTAGGCAGGGAGATGATCATGGGAAGAGTGGGCGAGTTTTGTGAAGCAACAACTTGCAGCTGAAGTTGACTTATTTTTAAGTTTTCTGCAACCCTAGTCTGACTGAGAAAAAAGTTTTCTTTCCACTAGGTAATTCTAAATCTACTCAGTTTTACTTCTTTTAATCCCAGTGTATACCAAGAAGAGTTTAGAATGAGTGGACATGCCTGATGACCAAACCCTTGGGGAGATAGAATCAACAAGGACAGAGGGAGGCATGGTGAAAAATCCTAAGATCCAGCCCATTGCTCATTCAAGCACCTTCAAAAGGAGGCACTGCCCAAGGATGGGAGAATTAGGAAGAATGGAGTAGTTCCCCATTCCTGAGGAGGAGGCAGACTCCACAAACCTGAAAGGTAGGCCAGTGCTGAGGATTTTCAGTGTCTAGGGAAGGGTTCATATGAATAAGAAAGTCATTCTGAGTTAAGACAGTGTCTGGATAGCCTTTTTCTGTGTCTGCTGTAGTAACTGCCTTTTGGGTAGTTGATCAATGTGTGGAGAAGTCGAGAGGCAAGTGTAAATGGGACAAGGACAAGTCTCAACAGAGTTCCTGCTCTTGCCTCAGTGCTTTCTTGCAGATTTCTGTGGCCTGCCCATGCAGAGTGAACTGACTGAACATTCTCATATTCATTTATGAATTACACCACTAAGTCGAGTTAGCTCAGCAAGATTACTACAGATAGCTGGCGAATTCATTTCTAAATGACCCATCATCCCAATTTCCACAGAAAATTCCATTCCCAAATAGGAATTTTTAGAGATGGAGAAACTATGTACCATCCCTAAGTCGCCACCTTCTGTCATTTTCCTTGAGTTTTTCTCCTGGGAAAACATGAAGAGTACAGTGACTTCTGCAGGGAACTCTCTTGGTAAGTCCCCTCTATCCGCTGCTCATTTCTCCATCACTTTTCCAAAACTCAATCATGGGAAACAGAGAATACACATCCTAAACAACTGGGTGAGGGGCAGGGTGAAGGAAAACACTGGAGAGAAACAGGCACAGTCTTGACTGGCCCAAGAACCAGTCTGATGACCAGACACTGCAGTGAAACGGCAAGGCGGATTCTGCAGGCAACTCACCCAGTGCCTTGGCAGGCAACTACGCGTCCTCTGGCAGTGCTTGTCAGGCTGGCTAGACTGCAAAGTTAACCCACAGTAAGCAGGCACCAGGAGGTCCAGCAAAAGGAAGCAGAGTGGCATTGGGTGGTCAAAGTGGGGCCGAGGTTGGAGGGGACACAGGACTGCTGTGGAGGACGTACTGAGTGGAAAGAGGCTCGGGGTGATGCCTGAGGTTCAGTGGTGCTGGTGAGAATGGGAGCGGAAGTGGCACGGGCTGGGATGGAGGCAAGGACACGGGAGACGACGAAGAAAGGGGAGGGGGAGGCACAGGGCCGAGAGTACTCGTTGGGGTGACAGCAGTGAGGAGGGGGCCACACGGCAGGGCTACATTTCGGGTACAGGGCCGGGTGGAAAATGGAGCTGGGTGGCAGCAACGGCGGGAGTTAGGGTAGAGTGGAGTCCAGGGCTGGGCAGGGGCCATGTCCAGGCAGATGCTTTTAGGCGTTTTGATTTGGGGAGACACAGCAACAGAGAAAAAGGCCTTGGGAAGGGGACAGGGCTGCAGAAAGCATGCCAGAAGTTCGGAGTGCAAGGACAAGAGAAAGGATCTCGGAGAGGGCAGAAGTGAGGAAGGCAGAGCAAGCGGGTGGACAGGTTATGGATGACACCACGAAGTTAAGTTAGCAGGGCTGGCAGGCTGCATTGCGGGAGTGGAAGCTCAGGAAAGACCCATGAAGAGATGAGGCGCTGGTGTCTGGTTCGGGACTCGGGACTCTGTCCCCACAGGGCTTGGCCCCCAGCCCCATTCTCCCACCTTCGGCACCTACCGCCACTTGTGAACTGGAGCAGGAGAAGAAGCGCTTCATGGCCGGGGCCGGGGCCAAGGGGGGACGGGGACGCGCGGAGAGCCAGGCCACCAAGTTCCCAAACCCACCGAACTCAGCTGAGGGTGTGCGAGAAACAGCTGTCAAAACCCCGAGGGGCCCCGCCCCGGCCGGGCCCCGCTCAATCAGAGGGGAAAACCCGAAGGCCGGGCCTGCGGCTCCGCCCCCGTGCCGCCCCTGCAGAGGAGAAAAACCCGCAGTCTTCGGCGGCGACGCCGGCTTGGCCTCAGACCTCGCTCTCCCAACCTAAACGCGCCCACTGGCTCCTCACCTACCCGCTCCGACCTCCTCCAGCTGAGAAGGAACCCGGGGTCAACGGCAGTAACGCCTCGCTGGCCCCGCCCAATCCCCGCCCAGGCCCCGCCCCTCAGAGCGCGGCGGAGGCGGGAGAGTGGCGGCTGCTCTTACCATCTGACTGCCTCAACCATCGAAGACGACGCTTTATTACATCCAGACACCTTTGGCCAGTTCCCCCTGCTGCTCCCCTCCTCCGTCCTCTCGCCGAAAAACCCAAGAACAAAAGAGAATTTAAAGAGAACAGTTTGGAAACGCGAGGAAGTGTAGCACTGAGTAGAGGACTAAGAAGGAAGACGTGTGCCCCGCTGCAATCTGCGGACAAAACCTGAGGGAAAGGGGATCTGGGTCAATGTCTTAATGAAACTCGGAGTTAGAAAATGGAAATGAGAGAGTTTTTACGTGAAGCATCCCCTCTTTAGAAAAAGAAGAAGAAGAAAAAAAAAAGCCGGGCGTGGTGGCTCACGCCTAAAATCAACCCCAGCAATGTGAGAGGCTGAGGCAGGAAGATCACCAATCACAAATCCCAGGCCGGCCTATAAACCGATCGAGGGATCGATGGATCGGGGAGGGCTTTGGATGTAGCTCAGAACACCTTGGGTTCAACCCTCAATGGAGAGAAGGAGTAGAAGATAAATACTAACTTCCCTATTTTCGCTGCCCTTTAAATTCAGATTCTCAATAATTCGTGCTTGAAGTGTCGCAGCCATGGGTCTTCCCATCGCTCGTTTCTCCTTGCAGCCCCCGCCCATCCATTACAATGCATATGAAAACACAGGGTAAAGCCCAACGTTCTTAATGTGGCTAAAAGGCTCTTCGGGAGCAGGTCCCTGCCTTCTTTTTCAGTCTCATCACTAGTTACTTTTACAAAACAGCCCAAGATCAAACTGCTGTAATTACTACAATTTCCTTTGCAGCTTGTGATTGATCCTCCCTGGAATGCCTCCTCTCACACTTGGTGGGGCCCCAAATAAAGATTTTGATTTGTTTTTCTGTACATCTTTCCCTTAAAACCCTGCCACTCTGTCGCCAAACGGATGCCTTCTGTGTGCAACATATTCTTGGTATACATTGTACAGCAACCATCTCTTCATATTTGCCATTATGTGTTGACATTCTTGTTTCTTCTACTAGGCTGGGCTCTTTGATGTTGGCAGTTATAGTTTATAGTATTCCCATTGCCTGCAAATATTAGGTGTTTAACATCTGATAAGAGAGGAAGGAAGGGAGGGCAAAGAAGCAACAAGAACAAAGGAACACTCTAGTTTATAGGGAAGACCTGTTGTTTCACAGTTACTTCTCAAACTGCTATCGGTCCATAGAAAAGGGCAACAAGCTCATTGCAGAATAGCTTGGGGTTGGCAAAAGCCCTTCTCAGGGGCTAAAGAATGGATAGGAGACAGATCTCCAGGTGGAGAAAAAAAAATTAATCATATGAATAAAGAAGTAGATGAACCAGTCGTCAGGAAAACCCACCCCACTTTGGAGGCTCACTGGGAGTGAAGTAAGGGAAGTCTTTCACCATAAATGCATCCTCAGGTCCAGCCCCAGGCAGTGTGTGCTCCACGGGGCTGACCAAGTGAAAGTTTACATGATGTGCAGGGAGGGGCAACACGGACCCTTTCCTGTCACAAAACAACTCGACTAGCTTGAAGCAGAATGGTGTCCCTGCCTAACAGCCCAGGCAGGCCACAGTTCTCAGGGTCAGGTAGGAGGCGCAGACACGCACATGGTCTCTAGAAGACCACTGCTTAAGTGTGCGTATTCCTCAGAGATACCAGAGCTCTGGGAGTCACAAGAGGAGCCTAGAAGACATCTGGGCATCTGAAGAAATAGAAGAAAATCCTTAAGTCAAATCAGTTAATTATCACCTTAGAGGACTCAAAAGCATATTTTGAAGGACCTGGGGCCTAGAATAAGGTATAGAGGAAAGAGATAATAGCACCCAGAAGAAATGAATCTTCAGGGTCCGGGAGATGAATCGCCAGAACAAGAATACTGCTCAGGGCTTCAATATATCTTTTCACTTAATCTTCATAAAACATGGCAAGGTACATTATTTTGTTACAGAACATTTTACAGTTACCATTTATTGAGCACTTACTGTATGTTCAGTTTGCTTGGATTATCTCATTTAGTCTTCACAACAGTAATAAATTTTAAGACAAGATAGCCAAGACTTAGAGAAGTAAAATCTGCCCCAGATCAAACAGTTTTAAGGGGTATGGCCTAGACTTAAACCCAAATATGTCTTCCTTTCTAACCACAGTGGTTACTGTTATCTTTCCCTCTGGGATGTTATGACTTGCTCAGTTCCATATAGGTAATAAACAGCAGACATGTGATTTCAGCTTAGGCCCCTGTGTTCCTCAGAGTTTACACACTATGATCACCCAAGCGGGTAAGACTCGCAGAGGTCAGAGCACAACTCTGATAGGAGAGTCACAGCAAATATTCAAAAGCCTATGTAACTTTGCCTTCCAGTGACTCCATTAGATAACGGCTCAGACAAACCAAGAATTTACCTCTCACCATCCTTGAGCAGCCTATATCCTCAGGAACTCAAACAGATCCAGGAGTCATTTGACACTGACCTTTATTTGTTCTGACCATCTGATATATTGTCCACGGTGCTGGGAAACAGAGACAATGCCCAGGACGGTGGCCCCTTTCAGAAGGCCTGAGATGTGCCAATATAAACATTGTGGTTAGCCTCGAGAACAGCCTGGGAGGTGAACTGAAGGGGGTGTTGATCCTTCGAACCGCTATCAAAGCTGCCCTCTGGAGACCAGTAACTGACTCTGGTATCCAAAGTCTTGATTCCAAAGAAATGTGTTTTGAGATGTGAGAATCCACCGGTCTTTACTAGCCACGACCATAGCACGGGACGAGGATGGGAAAAGTTAAAGATAGAAATTATCTTGGTGATTTCCAGTAAATATCAAGCAAGGGCTACCGACTCATTCCAACAGAGTTGACATCCTACAAAATACGACCAGAGTTGCACCAGAAATATTTTCCTAGGAGCTACTTGTGCCCAAGGCTGGGCAAGTAAAGGCTTGCTCTCCAAGGACCTCACACCTATGCTTTTTAATGCAGTCCCACTTGTTTGGATCCCATGGCACTGCTGCTTCCCAAAGCTGGGGAGGTGGACGGTTTTCCACCCTAAAACAGCAATCCTTTCCTTTCTCTCTGCTTTCAATAAAGAGGTCCCACCCAGGGCTGAAGAGAGAGGGCTGAGAGAAGCAGAGAAAACACTGCCGCGGTCAACCAGACTTCCCTGCTATTCCAGCTTTAGCCACCTGGGGGACCCTGGCTTCAGAGAACCAGGCGTCAGGACCTCGTTTTGCTTCCAGGGAAGGCCGAGGCTTGGGGAGCTCTTGCCCAGCAAGCCTGGGGCAGCTCCGTTTCTCTAGCACCTGAGGGAAGGCGAGTGCAATACCAAGTTTCAGGTTTCAGAGGGGATGGCAGTTGCCTGTCCAAAGGCTTCTCTGTTCCTTGGAATTGTACAGAATGTCTCCTGTGGCTTTTCCTCCCCCCTCCTTTTTTCCTGTTGACTCTCCGCATCCAGCTCTATGAATCACTAAACTCCACAGGAAAGCAGCAGATGTTGACTTTACTTCTTTCAAGCCAACGTCAGCTCCCTCCTGTGGTACAGTTGGTACTGAATGGAGAAGGGTAAGCTTCACCCTTTGCAAATTGTGAGGAAAGACACAGGGGGAATCTGAAAGGAGTCAGGGACCTGGGCACAAAAATTTCTTTTGATTCCTGGGGATGGGGGAAAGGGGGTCCCCGAACAAAGACCCCAGTGTTGGCTGTGGAATCAGGATCATGCGGAGGAGGAGGGAAGCACAGGGTGAGAGCGTGCCAGCTCTTCTTGTCTGAGGTAAAGCCTCATCTCTTGCCAGCCGCAGCCCCATGACTCAAAAGTCAAGTCAGGCTGTGAGTCTGAGGAGAGTCCAGAGGCTTCTTCTTGATCCCACCAGGCCCTCAACCCTCTGCTCTGACACAAGTCTCTTGAAGAAGCTGCCAGAGTGGACTTTCTAGAGCCTTATTCTGCATTCATTGCTCCAACTTCTCTTTTCTCTTCCTCGGGGATTTTCTTACGGGTAAAGAAGCCAAGCTATAGAGGAAGAGATAAGAGTCACTGCCAAATGCCCAGACTGGGGACCTTGCCAATAGCTCTCAGACTGATCTGAAGTCTTCACTTTTGTTCTGATTCCAAAATAGGATTAAAATTTATTTTATTTGGTTTAGTTTAATTCAACCAGCATTTGTGAAGTGCACTGAGGGAGATCCGGGCATGACACTCTCAGTCTGCTTAGCCACCCCGTGTGAGCTATGCCCTCCCTGCTATCACCAAGGATCCCCTGGGCTGGGGACCGGGTGCATGACAGAGCCTTCACTAGCATGTGTGAGGCCCTGAGTTTGATCCCCAGCGCTGCCAAAAAAAAAAGGGAAAAGAAATCCCACTGGTCCACACTGCGTTCCCCACGTCTACTAAAGTAGGGCTTACCTTCCACAAGCAGAAGACAAGAAGAGCAAGCAGGAGCAGCCCGCCCAGGACACTCCCGATGAGGATCCACAGGGAGATGAAGACAGGGCGGGTCTGAATCACCTCCAGGAGACTCTGTGGGGAGAAGAGTTGTTTTTTCACATTGCCCTTTAACCCAGCTAGCTTCGCTCACGTTTAAGCAAAGCCAGCCCCCAAATCGAATAAAGCAAGGAAACTAAAGCAGGAATGGGGGCAGTGGAACCCTGGCATTTTCATTTCACACTTCAGACTCAGCAACTGCTGCCTAATGGAGAAGCATTGGTTTTGGGGAAAAGCCCACAGTGCCCTGACCCCGTCCCATCGCCATGATTTTCACAGCTCTCACACTCAGCCTCCAGCCCCACCTCACTCCAGCGGGAGGCTTCAGTCAGCCGCAGGACACTGCGCTCCTCGGTTCCCAGCTCAAAGGTGCTGACCACTGTGAGAGACTTGAACTTTGCCTGCGCAACAAGTGGATGGGAAGACATTTAGAGTGAACCACGAGAAGGTGGTGTGATATATTTTGGAACTCCAAGAACAAAGTTCAGGCTAAGAGGCCCAACTTTCAAGATCAGACGAAAAAGCTGACGAGCACTGGGAAAAGAGAGGATGGATGGGTAATAGGTGGAACAATCTCTGCTCTTTCAAATACAGTTTACCCAAGGTGCAGTCCACTCTCCTTTCCTTTGGCAAACCTCTACCCTTCTTTTTTCTTCCCCTGCAATACCCAGGGAGTGCTGAACTATGTCACCAGCCCTTTTTATTTTGAGACAGAGTCTTGGTAAATTAACTAGGCTAGCCTCCAACTAGCTAACTCCCTTGCCTCAGCCTCCTAAGTAGGTGGAATTATAGGCATGTACCACCATGCCTGGCTTCGATTCCTCTTTAGATTGAAGTTTACCCCTCTGGGAATTAGAAAAGCATTTCCTACTAACTCCCTCTAATCCTGGTACTATTGTTTGGATATGTTTTGAGTGTCCTCCAAGCCTTCAGGTATTGAAATTTCATCTCCACTGTGATCTATTGAGAGGGTAGAAATGTTATCCAAGTATGGTGTTTAGGTGGGGCCTTTGGGAAGTGATTAGGACCAAATAAAGTCATCAGGGTGGAGACCTCAGCACTGAGTACTGGCCACTTTATGAGAAGGAGAGGGAGAGAGCAAATACATATATAATGCAGCCAAGAGGATCCTTACCAGAGCTGAGCTGATGCTAGCATCTTGACTTTGAGCCTAATATATCAGCGTTCTCTGTCTTTTGTGACTGAACTATAAGAACCTTGAACCTTGAGGTCTGTGTTCTACTAGTTTGTGTGGCCTCAGTGCCAAGTATGAGTAGTTTCTTAATAAATCTTTGTTAAAAGAATAAATGAATAAAAAAGGTACCGAAGAAGGACAAAGAGAGAACCAGACTTGGGAAAGGGTGGTTTGTTGGACTTAGCTTCCCTAAAACATATACCTACATTCCCACATCCCAAGGATCTTGTGTTATTCAAAGTATATGGGAAGCTGGCTGTGGTGGTGCATGCCTGTAATTCCAGCACTCGGGAGGCTGAGGCAGGAGAATCGCTGTGAGTTCAAGACCAGCCTGGGCTACATAGTGAGTTCCAGGTCAGTCTCAACTACACATTGAGACCCTGTCTCAAACCCCCACCCCGCAAAAAAGTATATGGGAATGAAAAGTATTGCTGAATACGTGTTGATAATTAAAATATCATTTCCCTGCTGGAAATTCATACTGACTTCCAAAAGTTTATCATGTAAGTCCAATTTTATCTCCATAGCATCAGAAATGTTTGTTAATCTAGATTTTTCTCAACCATACAATCTTATTCCACACTATTCTCCAATAAATATCCTGCATTTAGTTTTGTTTTTTGTTTTTGTTTTTGGTACCGGGGCTCGAACTCAGGTCGTTGTGCTTATGAGGCAGGTGGCAGAATCACTGAACTAAATCCCCAATTCCAGCATTTAGTGTTAGGGACCTGACACCCGCCATCACAGGCTGCATTTTCCTGGTGCTTCTTGGCTCTTAAAATGATCTCATGCTCTTATCTCTAGTTTCCCTCCCCCAAAGGCCACAGCGGTCCGGAGGGAGGGGTTAAACCTGTTTCTGCAGGACTGAGCCCATAAAAGACAACCTGGCCTGTGATAGGTTAAAAGTAGTCCACTCCTCATGAATAAGCAATAGCCCAGCCCAAAACCAATACAAGGACCTTTCTTCTTCTCCTCCTCCTCCTCCCCCTCCTCCTCCTCCTCTTCTTCTTCCCTTCTCCTCTCTCCCTAACCTGCTTTCCCTAATAAAGTTCCTGTTGGACCTCTCAGTGTGTGGCCTAGTTGTTCAGCGTTGCTGTGCCTCTACATTTAATATTAATTACTTCATTTATTTGTTTAACAAAAACATCATTTCCCTGCCTGGAAACTCATACTGGCTTCCAAAAGCTTATCTAAGTCCAATTTTATCTCCGTAGTATCAGAAAGCACCTACAATGGCATACCAAGGTGCTAAATGTTGAGGATATTCTCCTAATACCAAAGCTTTTATTTAAGAAGCACTGGCTAAATGTAGGTATCCTATTAATGTAAATTGACTATTATTATTATTACAGAATCAAGACATGACAGAGGAAAATAATTCAAGGATAGTAACTAGGTTTTATTGAATGTTCACCACATGTCCAACTCTTTATTCATTTATTCTCTACAACTCTATGAATATAGGCATCTTTTTAATTTAAAAGGTCAGGAAAAAGAGGAAATACAATAACTTGCTCATGGTCAGATAACTGGTAAGAGGCAAAACTACAACTTCAAAATAGGTCTGTTTACTTCTCAAACATGTTAATTCCTTTTTTTTTTTTTTTTTTTTTTTTTTTTTTC